CTCATAGTGACCCTATAGGACAGAGTAGAACTGCCTCATAAAGTTTCCAAGCAGCTGCTGGTGGATTCGAACTGCCAACCTTTGGTTAGCAGCCAAGCTCTTGACCGCCGCACCACCAGGGCTCCAGGAGTAGTGCAGTAAGCTCCTAACTGGACTTTCTACTTCTGCCCTTTCCACCTCCTTCCCCCAAGTCTGTTTTCAACATTGATTCTAGAATAGTCTGGTTCACATTTCCTTGTCTCTCTCAGAGGAAAGCCCAACCAAGTCCCTCCTGCCCCCCCCCGCCCCGGGCACTTCCACTTTCTCAGATCACTGGGTTCTTTCTCATTCACTACATTCTCTTCCCTCCCTTCCTTTTGGTGTCCTAGAAGGCTATGTGTCTATGTGAACAACGCTCCCATGTCACACTCAGCGTTTGCTAACAGTAGACACCATGGCATGGTGCATATTCATCTGTTACATGTTACTTCCTCTACGACCCCCACCCCCCCGCCCGCCGCAAACAGGAACATGTTCGCTCCTCCAACGCCTTTATTTGGTGCGCAGCTGCATCCCTGGTCTGTGGGGTGAGCAGTGCGCCTCAAAATATGTTACGCGAATTAATTAACGGTTTCGGGATTTTGTGTCCTATTTAAAACTTTCCTTACGAATAAATTTTTTAAAAATCTCCCAGGGTTTCTCTTCTATGGTTTCGTTTCTTGCAGGTAAAACAGGGGAGTCCTAGACAGGCAGGGATGGGAGGCAGAGCCTCCCCGGGGTTCTCGCTTTCCTTCCCCGCTCGCTCTCCGCTGTCCCGGCCCCCCGCTCCTCCACCGTCTCCCCTTCTTTCTCGCATAATCCCACCCTCCCTCTCCTTCTCCACCTCCTCCCACTTCTACCCCAAGCCCCCTAATCCGCTCTCGCTGCTGCCCCTCCCCGCCTGCTCCCCTCCTCCTTCCGGTCTTCTCCCCCCACCAGCGGCCCGCCTCGCCTCGCCCACACTGGGCGATCAGGACCTCTGGGCGTGAGGAAAGACGCGAACCGAGGGAGAAGCCAGGGCCTGTCGCTCGCGAGAACCCAACGGTCGCCGCGGTCCGCGCGGGAAGACGCGCCGCCAGACTCCGCCCCGTCCGGGGTTTGAACCGGAGGCCCCGCCCCCGTCCGGAATTTGCCTGGAGGCCCCGCCCCCGTCCGGAATTTGCCTGGAGGCCCCGCCCTGCCCGGGGTTTGAAATGGAGGCCCCGCCCCCTACCGGAATTTGACCGGAGGTCCCGCCCACTTCCGCAGCCAATCAGCGGGCGCAGGGCGCGGCCGGCGCCGGTGACCCTTTGTGGCCGCCGAATGG